TGTGCTTAGAGATATATCAATCAAAATGACAAAAAGAGAACAAAATGCGTGTGAAAACAAAAAATCCAAAATATATCTTCACATTTCTTGACATGTGTACTCTCTTTTTTACTTTTGTTCTTCACGGTTTTTCGATGGCTCCATGTCTATTCATAAACTGATGCTTATATAATATACATAAATTTCTTAAACAGGTGTCTCCGAAATGCACATGCCGAACGCAGCTTTGAATCCTTGACTATCTAGATCTAGGAGTCTGGCCATACATAGTCGCGGGTTCGGTATGTTTTTATTGTTGGTATTGTGTTCACACGAAATACTAACGGGGATCTACAGATGCTTAGTTGCAGGTATGCTGCTTGACATGAACTCTCGTCCCAGATGGTTGACACCGCCTGAAGGTAGCGTTCCTTCTTATAGCTTCGGTGCGCGTTCACGCGGAACCGCTAACGTTGTACTCTATCGACAAATCCACTCCCTCATAACTATGACCAGAAATACGGGCTTTATAATCGTTACTCGTTGCTTGAATACTCTTGCGAGTCACTCTTTGGAGTTTAACAATACTAACAACACCCGAAATTTTGCTCAAGATAGTTTGTGCATGGCCACAGCTATTATATAAACAACACTTTCCAACGTAAGCTCCTCCTTCGCTTTTCCCGAGCGTCTAACGATGCATTGAACCGTCTCGATGCAGACCAAAGATAGTGAAGTTTGGTGCAAAATTTTAGACCGATTTGGAACACGTACCTCGCAAGTTTTGTTATGGCACATGCCTGACTCTGGCTCTTTGAATCTGTCACTTAAACAGTCGGCATCTTCGGGCTGGCTACCGCTAATGATTATGTGAGGTTAACCTGGTGCTGATTGAAATCATCTCTAAAGTATCACCAATAGGGTCATTTTATCTAAACTGTTTCGTCCGAACTATGAGCGGATCCCTGAAGCATCTGTTAGTTTGACTGAAGCACGAAAACGTATACAGTTGTAAGGTTAATCTCATACTGTTTGAAATGTTTTAAAACGAATCCTGATGAACGTGAATGTTTAGTGGGTTGTGAGGATCCGAAAGATTGGGGCTAGTGAGGATTTTTTTAACAACTGAGTAGCCGAAGAAGGCTTAACATAGCAAGACTAACCGAGGGCGGCTTTCAGTCGAGTCACTATTATCCACATTGGTTTGATTTTCATATCAATCAACCTGAGGGGCACTCTGCAGAGTCCACTGTGGCGAAACACCTGAAGGTACGTTGGATGTTGGCATCATGTTTCTTACCCCTGAATAGATTCCACACAAATTACATCGGTTGGAACTGATTAAGGCATTTGTATACTATTATCTTCTTTCATTATCACTGGATGATTCTGGAAACTTACAGGCTTTTCACCAGATTGACGATGACCAATCGTCAACCCTGTTTTTGGTAATGAAAACAAAGCTTCAAAAGAGAATCATCGTGACATTTAACTCCCTGCTCGCAAGTATCATATCGTGATGCCTAATTGTTACACGCGTGAATGGTAGACCGAGTTCCGCCTGGCTTCTGTCACGAAAGACATGTTGACAGCATGTTTGCGCCACATCAAGTTTCAAAGCTGTGACATACGGAGGACTAACCCTAATGATTCTACTTGAATTTTGACCTACTTTTCATTCATTCAGTGTCCCCTGTTTACCAGTTGCTCATCCGAGACCTTGCTATTCTGGAATTACTTTGCTGCAAGTTGCGACGTTCTACGCAGGTCTACGAGAAGCTCTCTCGAACCTCTCCCCCTTCTTACTTTGTTATCGGACACATCACGAGTGTCTTAGATAGATCTTCCGGTTTGAGGTTCTGCCAGCTAGTCGGTCGATAAATTTATGATAACATGATGTCTGTCCTGGGTTCCAACCGAACTATTGTGCTAGCTCTGACCACTACAGCTAGCTAACCGATCTTCATACAATAACCCGCGCTGGCCTTCTATCATTTGTGTGGCCAGTCTTTACACATTCTCAATACAAATAGTATCTTCCTACAGGTAATGTGCCCAGGCGTCGGCCGGTGGCCGAGTGGTCTGCACGTTTGCTTTGCGACCATAAGGTCACCGGTTCGAATCCGCGTAGGGGTGGGCGTCCTCGCGGTATACTCAGCCCGCGCGCGACTGGTGGTGGTCGCGCGGCAGCGAAGCGCCGTTACGGCGTACAGCTGACACACTATCATTTTTTTATATTTTTCCCTCAGCGTGTGCTTCGCAACCTCAGAGCACAAGGCGCTACTGCAGAACTGGGCCGATACACCACCAGTTCTCATTGTAACAGTTATCAGATGTAGTTGATTAGATTGCTGTACAATGTAGCTTTATTATATTTGGTAGTTATGTCGCCGGTGTTGATATATAAACATCAATAAGATCCTCGTGGCTCTGCGAAGTGACTTATCTCTAGAGACGGCGAGATTTCCATTCATCATCCAAGGACACGATGCATAGCGCTTCGATACGGCAGATGTTACTGTATTTAGCAGAAACAAGCACTCCGTGGATGGTGAGGAATTAGCCCTTTTAGTTGCTGATGTGTGCGCAACATCGATTGCATCCGGCTGGAACAGTAATTGAGGAATGCGGGATTTTACAATTTGTTTGTAATAAATCATCTGATGATGTACTGACCGCCTATATTGTGCTTCTGCATTCCACTTTAGTCAAGTATTCACTTATTATCGCTTACTTTAGCACTCATTGTCTACTGTTGCTGCACCTGGCCGCGGAAAACCACCGAAGAGGTAGCCGATGACAAAAAAAAACACGAAGAATCGACTGTGAAATTTAGCGTGGTTGGTGTACACCCATCATACTGAACAAGTCCCTGGGGACCGGCCACGTCACTAGTTGGCTAATTCGTCCGACAGGGTGCAATTCCAGAACCTGGTTCTTTATCTCTGACTGAATATTTTTACTTCACTCCATACAGCAACACAGTAATTTGAGCGGATGCTTCACTGCAGCACAATCAGAATGGCCCAACGGACGAGGGGGAAGAATGATGACTTAGTATAAAAACTGAATATCCTAAAAAAAAAACTTTCAGGGCCGATGTCTACAACATGCGGTCACGAACAGTTGGTTATCGTGCGGCATGGGTGACAGTTTCTTTGTGGTTTTCGCTGCCCCGCGTCCTAATCGGCCATTATCCCGCAGATAACTCAGCATCAAACACAATCTAGTTAGGTACACCGACTAGGAGACGACAGCATACGTTCCACTGGTGCCGGCTGTGAGCCAGCTCTCAAGTCAAACAGAATGAGCCATGTGGACTCCAGCCTGGACAGCGAGAACAACCAGCATTATCCAGTTTAGTCATCAATAACTTCATTTCCTGTTGCCAAGTCAATAGAGTGTTGCCATCCTCGAGCAATGTGCTACCCGGAGAACAAAGCTCCACTGTGACAGACAGTGAGCGAGCATACGTAGCACCCGCCCAAATCAATGCGACTTAGTCAATATCATTTGCTGTTCTAAAGCACTTTGGGACTGCCAACATGTAGCGCTCCTCTACGCCATCCGGCACCACCCCAAGCAACAATCAAGGAGTTGAAGACGCCTCAGACCGAAGGGTTCAAGCCTCACTCCTCAAGGGTAGGATATCCCTCACTGCGGCTTTGTACACACGGTCTTTCAGATCGAGGGAAACTAAGATCGGACATAAAGATGTCGCAGATTCAGAAAGGCAGCTCTTTCTTTCGTAATACGTGAACAAACTAAAGTGGTCACATTTCCAACGCTACGTGCGTAGCTACCAAGATAGGTGGCTCTTTTAGCTATTTCATCTAGCATTTTACTTCAATTCCCTCACCGTTGTTAATTATTACTACCTTAGCAGTAGTCGAATCCACTGCACCTCATTGTTCGGCTGTTTAAGGGAGCTGAGCTGGATTAATGATCATTTGACCGTAGGCCATCAACTGATCTCCCTTTCACCAACGTGGCTAGCTTGTGAGCCATGTGCGTATCTCTAGGCCCAAACGATCTGGTCTATAATCAGCCTCATCAGATGCTCAGTTCTCAGTCATCGAGCGGACCGCCTGTCTGTGCCGTGCTTTCTTGCAGGCGATAACGGGTTGTTAAAAATTAGGCGCAACTCTTGCTGCATATGCACTTTGGTCTGACAGTTAGCTGCATAAGAACCATAGTTACCCCTGTCATCTTGCTTTCGATTGCGACCTTGATCATAATTGCTTACTAGAAGCGTTGCATGCTCGTGCTTGATCGTCATGCAGATAGCGATCCCACTGATGGCTACGTTGTTTCCGTTTGAATCGGACGAATGATCTTAGTAACCACTTGAATAATGCTTTCGGAGTTCCACATATCGCTGTATTTGCTTGAAACTCAGTGTTCACTAAAACGCACTGAAGGTGACACCACGATTGGTGGCGAAACGTCCGCAACACAATTACTCAGCTGGGAAATAAATCAACATTTCAGCAACCAAGTCGAGCCACTTGTATTTCGAGTTTTTGCAAGGTCTTACCTATTGGAGTAAATCCACTAACCACTACCAGTGCCATCAATCAAGAAGGCCTGAAGCTCCATGTACGATACTGTTGACTGGTGGTACCGCATTGTTTTGCGGCCTCTGGGTTGGTGCACTCCAGAAGACCACATATGATAACCTTATGTCATTTTCTTCTGGAGCCGACTATCGTGTGTTCTGCAGTCCATTACTACGCCAGTAAGCAGAGTTGATGTACAGTCACCCGGATCATCGGTTTGCAACACGGCAAAAAAAACCCAGTAAGGATGCATTAAGCATGACGGCGCAGATTATCTCGTGTCACTACACTAACGTAAATGCTTCCGAAAATTTCGCCCCTGAAATAAATCGTAGTTTTTGTCAGTGTCGCTGGCTCTATACGTTTATTGTGGCGGTTCTCCGTTACGGCGCATTGTGCCAGCGCCATGCTTACATGTAATGCTATCCACCGTCCACTGTTTATGCGGGCTTTTGTTTTCCAGGCTCCATGATCTCCGCACTTCGCAACAACACTCCTTTATGAACCGGTCATCTAATGTCCCCTATCAACGTTATCTCAAGATGCTGCTCTTTGCAAGTCCTTCGGAAACGCGTGCAACCCCTTTACTTCTCATGCGCTCACCCGCGCTTAACCGCTCCGACATTCTGCGTTTTATTCGCCCATCAGCGTGCTCATATGCAGCAGACTCGCATTTTTACCATTCCGAATGTGATAACTCTCAGTCGAATCGCCCTGACTCCCGTGGCGGCCCATTGTATTCTTTCTGAACGTTTGTCACTTGCTCTCAGCTTGATCGTTATTGCTGGATTATCTGACGCCGTAAGCATGTCTCATTACATTTCATGCATCTTCCAGCTGGATGGTTATGTGGCCAGAATATTTAAAAACCAACAGTCTTTGCTCGGAAGCTACTTGGATCCGATTGCTGACAAAATATTGATCGCCACACTGGTCCTCTCTTTGGGCTGGGTCCACATTTTGCCAGGTATTTTACCAATCTTTGATTATCCTCGTCTGCTCCAGGTAGTTTGGCACTTTTGATCGTCGGACGTGACTGTGCTATCATGAGCATTGCCGGCTATTTGAGCTATTTATCTTTACCGCCATCTGTGAGCCTTATTAAGGGGTTGTGATAAATAATTTCATTGGTTTCAGGTGAGACGGTTGAATGTCATTCGAAGAGACTACTCGCCAATCGAAATGAAAGCCTCTAACATAAGCAAGGTGTTATTTTAGATACTCTTGGAACAAGAACGGAATATCAATAGATATTGATAATTTTGGACTCTGTACAATGTGCTATATCCTACTCTTGTCAGTTAGAATGAGGACTCATCAGCAGCCACAAGGTCTACACTCTGCTCCCGTACAATCCTTGCATGACCACCGACCTGCTCTCTGTAACAAAAGTATTTCAACTAACTTTGGAATGCTGAGCGAATATGCTTGAGCTTTATTTTATAGTGGCCCCAGTACTCAAATACTTAAGAGATGCACGGTTCCACAGAATCCGTTGAGTCGTGTGAATACGTAATACATACGGGTTGTAGCATTGAGCATAAGACCGCGTATAGTTGATTTAGGGGGTGTGACTGAAACCCACCGACTGACTACCTCCGATGCGTTTGACATCACCTACCAATGGGAACAGCATCTGCCGGCGTTGGTCATGCAGGTAAAGGCGAGCTTGGACGATGAACGTTAGGTTACAGCGACCTGTTATTGTTCTCCTATATGAGAGAACTCATGCACTCGCGGGGGTAAATTCTTAGCATTTACATTATCGCTCCTTACGTACTAAAACAGTAAATCAAAAGAACATAAAAAAGAAGAATGTGAACAAATGCGCAGCCGATATTTGAACTGGCAGTAGTGCTGGTAGACAAGCAAACGTGTGAAAAAACAAGGCTGAATTTGTAGTGTGTAGAAGAGTCAAATAGCTTCCACAGATCATCATTTGGCAGGTGAAAAGTGTCGCCTAGTGCATCGGATGAAAACTGGACACATGCATTCAAGGATCCACTAGCGAAACTCGAATTTTGTAAGTAAGTTCTTTGAAGGAGGCCGGTAAAAACGATGAGAAGACAATGTATACGACTACGGAGAATGTGTGGAGTTGCAGGTACAGAAAAGAAACTAAAAGCACTGGTTTCAGAATGCAAGTGTTTCACCAACGTGTATTGACCAGAGTAGGTTTTCTAACAAAGGCAGTAGGGTGCATGATTTGGTAGCTGACAAGTGGAGGAGAGATGGCCGCTACTTACCAACACGAAGAAAAAAATGACTAACATTTAGCGAAGTTAAATGACTGTGCTCGGGACGAAAACCATCTAAGGCTCACGTAATCTTCGAAGCAACGGGATGACACAACGTTAAGACAAGGGTTTCAATGTAGATCCACCGAATAAATGGTGTACAAAGCATTTCGACGTTTAGCTGGGTGAGGTGAGTGTGAATTGTAAAATAGTCGCTCTTTGATGGGCACATGTCTAGCTGGATCCTGTTCGCAACCGGCAGGTTGAGCAGCACCGATCTGTCGATGTTGTCCATTGATATAGATGTACTGACCACTCGGCCGAATTTCTAGGTAAAAAGCATGCTCACCAGAGCGAGAATAGTCGTGGTGTTAACACAGGTCACCATTATCCGCCATGTGTCGGCTCCGAATAGGATCGAAAGCTACCTGGTGCTCAACTGATTGGATTTTTTTGACTGCTAAAGACTTATTCACCTCAGAGCACATAATGGATGAATCACTTTTTCCTCTCCTTTTAACCAGCTTAACACGGTCTGTCAACTTACGACCATCGTACTCAGTATATCGGCGTCCCTCTTCAACCTCAATGATTCGCCCTATCTTTATGGGATGTGGTAAGTACGCGCAGCTCGTTTGTACCCAGACGTGGAGCTGTTTTGAAGTGTTCGTCGCGCCGTAATCCATGGCTGTCTACCTACTGATAATATCTTTTTTGTGCACCGCACCGCAGGGCTTTTACCGCTGGGACGACACTGGCTTCTGGTGCTGATTATCTCAGGAAACTGCCGGAATGGAGGCGGCTTGCAATCGAACGATCCAGGCGAGGTTTGAAAGGGCACAATGACACACTGGACTCCTCGTGACTTGGAACCTGTTACATCTGCCACATGAATCATATACAAATCGTAATATATTGCACACATGTCCAACAACAAATCACTAAAAACCCGATTTTCTGTATCATGCCAGGTGCTTGATGTATAGCCGTTTCACTAGCACTGCAGTTTTGAATTTACCAGCCTAACCCGCGGTTAGTGTATCATGCTGATCACTTCCAGGTACCCCGATCATATCGCGCTTCTGTAGTATGCTAATCAATCACTCGAGTGGCGCTTGACTCCTTAGTTTGTCATCAAGTATGTCCAAAATGAAAGAAATTCGGTTTTGAAATAACTTTACTGAGAATACTCACTTGCATACGCTGGCTGATCAACGGATCTTTCTATCCAACAAGCTTGTACCACCTGCCTGTATTCTAGAAATATTTATTCAGAAAATATGACCAGCTCGATTACAGGGGATGTCTTGTTGAAAATATGCGGGATTGTTGTGCTGTTTTACTTCTATAAGTGTTGACTTCAATCAAATTTAAATTCTGTTTGTAGGTCCCTAATATGCATTCATCTCCAATGTGGTGAAAACCTGTATATACTACAGCTTGGGAGTCAACAGGTATTCAAAGGAATCACTTATTTACACTGATGCATATAGGCCATGTAACCACACGAGGTAGTGCGCTGCTGGGACACTGCGGGGGCATCAAAAATCATGCAGGAGCAGGAGTTCATCATCATTACCTATTAGTTGAAGGTGAGAAACACTTCAACCATTGCGTCGCAATACGGAAGACCATCAACCTTGTACACGTCAGCCAGAGGTGGGAAACACTTCAGCTAATGTGCCGCAATACACAAAGGAAAAGGAAAATAAATACAAAAGCTGCATGTCAGCTGAGCTACCAGCAACGCATAGGCATCGTTCCGGTAAGCTACCAGCCGGCTACTAGGCAAAAAGAAAAATTATTATGTTTTACACTATGAAATGAGATGGTAGGTGGAGGGGGAGGCTAAAAGGGATGGGGAGGGACAAAGAAACTCACAGCAGGAACGCCACTGTGGTCGGCTCCTTACATGTCAGCAAGTGTATCCAGCCAAACGTGTTCACCGCCTTTTGGACCCCAACCAGGGAGCCGTGACGCTCCAACCGAGGCCAGATCCCAAGTGAGGGCCTTTATTCCTCTTGATCAAGTCATCGCTTGGCCACCCCTCCTCTTCTTCCATCCACATCCCCGGTGAGCAAACAACGCACGTCGTGGAAGTACGTGGGCTGGCATGCGCAACACGTGGCCCAGCCACGGAGCCTGGTGCGTGAAATGACGGTGCTGAGCGGTTCAGATCGTTTTTCTGTGCCGTAAACAAGGCGTCGAATGCGTTCGTTACTCACGCGGTGTTCCCACCAGATGTGAGCTAAATTGCGAAGGCACCGGTGGTCGAACGTAACTAGCCTCTTCATGTCTGCTGATCTTATGGGCCAGGTTTCGCAACCGTACAGTGGGGTCGAACGTACCGCTGCATTGTATACTCTACCTTTCAGGGGGAGAGTAATGTCGCGCCGGCGTCATAACTGTCGGAGGTTAGCAGAAGCACTTCGATCTCGTCTTCGATCCCAAGGGCGCTGATACAACTTCCCAGGTAGTTGAATTTCCGAACGACTTCTAGCTGATCCCCACCAAGGGTCAGCGCAGAAGGTGATCCCTGCCAATCTTGGAGGAACGCTTTGCATTTCGGTGGTACAAAGCAGAGCCCGAAGCGGCTGACAGCCAGTGCTAATCTGTCCAGCGCGGCTTGGCACGTCTGGAAGCTGTCACAGATGAGGGAAATGTCGTCTGCATACTCCAAGTCAAGAAGTTGTTCTCCTGGGAGTAGCTCCATACCTTCGAAGTCATGTCCTGTAAATGCAATCTCCATGACTTCGTCAATAGCGAAGTTGTAGAGGAAAGGTGACAGCGGGCATCCTTGTCTCACACCGCTGGAGATATTGAAGGATGGCGACAACTTGCCGTAAGCCCTCACTCTGCCCGTGCTACGCAAATATAATGCTTTGATAATATGTACATATTTCTCGGGCACACCTTTCCTGAGTAGACATCTCCAAAGGGCACATCGATCAACCGAATCGAAGGCACCTTTGATGTTGAGGAACACGACTACGGTGAGCCACCAATATGTGTGACAGTGCTCCAACAACTAACGCAAGGTGAAGATGTGGTCGACGCAGCCACGACCCCGACGAAACCCGGCTTGCTCCTCACGAATCTGGCTTTCACGAGCGCCAGTCAGTCTGTGGAGGATTATGGAGGCGAGTAATTTGGATGCGATGGAGATCAAACTGATTCCTCTATGGTTACCGCATTCCGAACGGGAGCCTCCTTTGAAGATGGGAACAATAACGGAGCGGCTCCAGTCGGTTGGGACAGTCTCCTGCTCCCACGGTTTCACTAGGAATCCATGTAAAGCATCAACAAGAGCAGTCTCCGAATTTGAAGGGGGCTGGAGGAAGATCATCTGGTCCCGCGATTTTGTTCCACTTCACCAGTCCGATCTCACGTTTGACTTCCAAGCGAGAGGGTGGATCCAAAGGGACAGCCCACGGAGCAGGGCGATCACTGACCGGCGAATCAAACAATTCTAGCCGATTAAATTGCTTTTCAAAATGGTCAGCCCAGCGCTCCAAACGTTTTTGACAAATTGTGGATAGGCTGTCCACTCTCGTCACGTATAGTTTCACTAACACCAGGTCTTCTGTTGCGCGTTTCCCGTATCAGACGGAACAACTTACGATGGTTGTCAAGGGCAGCGGCCACTTCCATCTCTGACGCACGGTGAGACCACCAAGATTCGCGGTCTCTCTTCAGGCTAGCAAGGAGTCTTGCCCAGAGTTCTTTACGAGTTTCATTGTATTCGCTTCCAGCCGGGATATGCCGGCGAGCATCGATAAGTTCTAGAGACTGCGAAGAGACCCAATATCCATGTTGGCTATTAGACATACCACATGAGGATTTGCCTGGTGCTAGTAAGTTTTGGTGAACATATCACCAGTGACCATCAATTGTCTCCAGTGAGCGCTTACTCAATTCGCATGTCAGCGTACTTCGATACGCATTCAGAACAGCTGGTTTTGTCAGTTGGCTGGTGTCAATGCGCTCACAGCGTCGTCGTGGGCGTCCGCCAAAACGCATTCGCATGTCAGCACATACAAGTGCATGGTCGGTGTCTACAGCTGCACTCCAAACCGAGCGACAGTGCTGGACGCAGCCTCTCCATCGGCAACTTATCGCAATGTGATCGATTTGCGTCCAAGGCTGGTGGGCACCAAGTCACCCTCCGGCGGGTGTTGTGTCGGAAGTTAGTGCTCGCAAGAAATAAGCGAGCATCTTCACACAAATGAAGTAACCGCTCACCGTTATCATTACGGGAGCCTGCACCGTGCTGACCGCCCAAATGCATTTCATCAGTGGACAGCTTTCCAACTTGTGCGTTCAAATCCCCAGCCAGCACAACAGTGTCCGTGCTTCTTCTGTGGCGAAGGAGCAGGGTCAGTTGGCGGTAAAAGTCGTTCTTTAACGAATCACCTCTGTAGTTTTTGGGTGCGTAGGCAGCGATGATGAATAGACACCTATTAGTCTCGCGCAACTTCAAAGCTATGAACGAGTCAGCCAATCGGACCGCACACATCCGGCTACTGATTGGAATCCAATCAACCAGAGCAGCTTCAGCCCGGGGACTCAGGGCAATACCAACACCAGCTTGGCCGGTGCTCGAAGCTGCATCGGCACTGGATAGGCGCAATGAGAACATTGCTTGCGTCACCTGAATAGGATCGCAGAGTTAGCACAGAGCTCGAGTCTTGCAGGCGGGTCTCCGATAAGCAGCAGATGTCGATCGAGAGGGTCTCCAATGTTAGGGCAAGTGCTGCCTGTTGACCGATCTGTAGTAATGTGCGTACATTGAGGCATGCCAATCTGAAGGAGGATCGAGGGCTCCAAATGCAAACCGATGAACCGGAATGGGCTGCTTGGTTGGACATGGGCTTGTCGACAGGAGAGTAGTGACGCTCCGCGTTCACATGTGAGTTGAAATTAGAAGATAAATGCCTAGCAAAGCATGTTGGGGGAGGGCCAAGAATCGGGGGGTTGAAAACTGGGAGTATAAAAGTGAAGTTGGAACGGGACGGTAAGAGTGAAAAAGCGCAAGAGGGGGAATAAGAAGACGGGAAGGCTTGAGCAGTAGCATCCAAACCCCTATCCACCCTGCTCGATGCAGCAGATAGGGTATCGTTGATTATCCTCTGCGGTGGCCAGAGCATCAAGAAATTGTTTGAAGGAAAATTCACAGTATTGCGTGGGCAGGATACTGTCAGGTTGCCCAGGCCTAGACAGGAGAACGATTAGGGTTCTCAACCAAAGCCTTTGGTTCAAAAACGTGACCGCAAGGCAGCGGCGTTGTGGCACTGGACTACAAGGAGTCCGTTTTAAGGAATAAGGTGCCACCCTCATTCCAACCCCCAACCTGGAGGACTAGGAGGCTGAGTTTGTCTGGCCTTTAACCATTGACCAATCTGGTATTAGTGACTCTGAAGGTGCAAAAGCACCACCCATCATGGTTCAATGAATCGCTGAGGCACACAAACCATCGCACCACGGTAAGGTTCAGCCTCATTATGATGGAATACGCAAGATAAGACACATGAAAATGCGAGATACTTAACACTGTATAATACAAAAACCAACAGGTAATATACTGCTTAGTAACATGTTTCCAGAGCGAGATCGAGGTTTGAGGCGAAGGATAAGCGGGAGGAGGAGGGACAAGGAGACTCGCAACACAAAGGAAATTGCGGTCGGCTCCTTGCCATTCCAGCAAGTGTATCCAGTCAAATGTGTTCATCGTTCTTCGGACATCAGCTTGGGGATCAGGAGACACCAACCTATTGACTGAGTAATCACTTGGCCGCATCTTCTCTTCTTCCATCCACAACCAGCACATATTGCGGGAGTCGATCTCCTGTTGTCCGTTTCCCGTATAAGACGGAATAACTTACAATGGTTACCAACGACCGGCTGTTTCCATGGGTGATGCACGATGAGACCACTAAGCTCCGCGATCTCTCTTCAGGCTAGCACATAGTTTCGCTCTGAGGTCTTTGCAATTTTCGTTTTCTAGTGAGAGGAAGTCATGACCTTCGGAGGCTAGCCACTGTCACCTGCTAAGGTGACGTGCGTGGCAGTGGAAGATAGGTTGTGCTATATCCCAGTTAGCTTACAAATTGTGCAGCCCAGCCGACGTCCCCCATGGCTCAGTGGCTTAAGCTGCTGGCTAGTTGGCATCTGCCTCTAGCGGTCATGGGTTCGATCCCCAGTGGGGAAAGGCGCAACACTGACGAGCCCCAATAGGGCGAAACGCGTCTGGTGCTTTTCCGGACTACACTGTGCTATGTAGCTTGTGATCAGCTGGGATGAAAACATTACAATTACAAAATCCTTCTACTCACTAGTAATTGTCGTTGTGTTTGCTCACAGCCAAATGTGCCAGCGAGCATCCAGGAGTTCTAGAGAATGCGCAGAGACCCATTGTCCAGATTGTCAACTTTAACTGTCACACGAAGACGTCTGTTGCTCATATGCGGCCAATGACCTACAAATGTGTTCAGTGAGCGCTTACTGATGCCGACATACCTCGATACACATGTAGAACATCTGGCTGCGCTAGTTGACAGGTGTCCATGCGCCTGTAATGTCCACAGAATTGAACTCTAAGATCAGCATAGACGAGTGCGTGGTCAAAGCCTATGATCGTGATCCAAATCCAGTGGCAGTTTTGGACAGCCTCTCTAGCGGTAACTGATCGTAAAGTGATCGATTTGCGTCCATGGTTGGTGGGCGCCATGTCACTCGCCACCGAGTAGAGAAATATACGAGCATCTTCACACAGGTGTGGCAACCGCTCGCCGTTATCAGTATGTGAGCCTACACCGTGTTGGCCACCCAAATGCAGTTCATTAGTGAATAATTTTCATCACAGTATGCGTACTTATTCTGTAACGAATGAGCCCATTCATTTTGCACCGAGTCGGCACTACACTTCGTGGACGCGTATGCAGCAATAGCACACAGGCATCGTTTGTCCCCGTGCAACTTCGAAGCTCTGAACGAGATAGCCAAACTGACGGCGCACATCCGGCTGTGCGCCAGGGCAGCTTCAGCCTGGAGACTCAGAGGAATACCCACACCGGCATTTGAAACTGCGTCATTTCAAGTTAAACGCAATGAAAAAGTACCACCAATGTCGATTGTATGGAGTAGTAAAATGGGTCCAGAGCTCCTATTCTGCAAGCAAATTCCTGATAAACAGAAGATATCAATCGATAGGGTCTTTAATGTTTCAGTAAGTGCGATCTATTGGCCAATCTGTAATAACGTGCGCACGTTTAGTTACCCCAGTTTTAGCGAGGATCGACGGCTCAAAAGAGACGGATGAACTGACGTCCGTTCGGTTGAACGTGCAGTCACCGTCTGGAACGGAACGACATCCTACGATTGTGTGGGAGTCCAAATTATAAGACAAGCGACCAGTGAAGTAAGATGGAGGTGGGCTGAAAATAGGGGGTAATTCAAATTGGAGCGGGATGATAATGATGAAAAAGCGCAAGATGGGAAATGGAAGACGAGAAGGTTTGAGCAGAAGCATCCTTACTCCTATCCACCCTGCTCGATGCAGCAAGTAGGGTGCCGTTTATTATCTTCTGCGACGACCAGAGCGTCAGTAAAGCGTGTAAAGATACGTTCAGTGAGTTGTGTTGCGCGGGCAGAATACTGTCAGGTTGCCCAGGCCTATACAGGAGAACAATTAAGGTTCTCAACCAAAGCTTTTGGTTTAAAAACTTGACTGCAAGGCAGCGAGGTTGTGCCACTGGGCTACAGAGAGTCCGTTCTATAGAGTGAGGAGCCATTCTTACTCCAATCGCCAAACTGGAAGACCAGGAGAGTGAGCTTGATTGGCCTCTATCCACTGACCAATCTGGTATGAGTGCTCTGAAGGTGAAAAGTCAGCATCTAGCATAGTTCACGGGATCATTAACGCACGCAAACCATTGTGCCACTTTAAGGTCCAGTCTCGTCGCAATGGCAAGAGCCCTCCAAAGATCTGAGACATTACAACACGGCCTTACATTGCTAACCATAAGATGGGTACCATAATCCATTTTAGCAACATTAGTTTCGCACACTTCCGTAACGCTATGATAGTGCTCTCTACGTGATTATTGCACACATGGGAAAAACGTCCACAATATGCAAGGACGCTAGATAAATGTGCTGCGCTGGGATGTTCCTATCGGATCCATATTGTTCTGTTCACTGTGAATGACACTAGCGACATCAGTGCTTCCCATATCCCCAATAGGCACCTTGAATACATCACTTTACTTCCTTGAATTGTCAGGGAGACAAGTGGTTGTCACATGATATACCACAATAGGATATTTGCGTTTACACCATCTCCACAAACTGGCTATCCGTGACAACGTAGCCAATAGGAAGCGGTATGCTTCAGCCTACACCACAGTGTTTCTCCGACCGGAATATTACTCACTGGTGTCCAACGAATAAGCACGTTATGTTCCAACAATAGCTATCCTTCAAATGCACCTTACTCCGCTTCATCTTTAGTGGATGAGTATGCTAATCTAGCCAATCATGATAAGTTGATTCATATTATGTATGAAACTGATGATTTAAAATAGCAATGTATGCGAGCATTGGGTGAGGACGTTGTTAGCTCTCCGCTAGGGAAGCTCAATTTCCCCCAGGGTTAGAACGTCGTTGGTGTCGGCAACATGAACCGATCGGTCTAACCAGAAAGCACTCAAGTGAACAGAACGTTGGAGCCTAAACTCGTGAATGCTAGATCTCGCAGTTCCACACACGACGCTTTCCCGAGTAGACACGATGAGCTAACTTGGCCAGATTGTCTGCACGACATCAGTTACAGTGCCAGCCATCTTGCATGGATGGACGTGCTCAGTGAGCAAGCACAAAGACGATGGTTTAGTGATGGGGGTAGACGCGAATCGCATGTGCAATGTATCCACAATCCAATCGCGGCGATGTTTGTCTGAAATGCGTTTGGTTGCAGAATATATGCGACTATTGCCGAGCTTCCCAAGCCGCGGGTTTCTCCTCTCCGACGTTGTAATTATAACCTAATGATCGAGCGGGATATCAAACCAAATCGTCAGTAGCAAAATGGCATCAAACACAACCTAGACTCGGTAACACACCACAAACACAGTGCAACAACCAGATATCACGGCAACTAGCGAAAGTTCTAAGCGTCCATCAGATATCCTTGTGATGGATCAAAAAAGGTCAAAAGCCTATCATTTCATGCAACCTCTTATAGGTGTTCGTTTCTCTTCATATGCTGTTCACAACAGTGAACAGCTAATCATTTATGACAAACGGAGCCCCAGTTTGAATTTCGCCCAATGAAAGAATGAGTGGACCGAAGCACATGGCGTCTGAGTTTTGCTTCTAACAGCCGTCAGACAGTGACATGTAAGCACAAAGTAGATCATGCTGCAGAACCAACGCGCCGTCACTCTGTCCTTCACTAGAGTTCCAAATTAGCTCATCAGTCTGGCACCGATACGCTACAGAGTTTAGCTTCTGGCATTTTGCGGCCCGTCTGAGTTGATTGGAGGACTTGCATGCTTTCGGTACTAACGTCTAAATTCGCTATATACATGCTAGTTGGCTCGGCCGTGCGAACATTTGCGAATCACTCTCAAACAAACAGCCGTCCCGTTTACCGGATGACAGTGAGTACGTTTTGTAATGAAATGAACCCAAATGCTTGCGAAATACGGCGAAGTGTTTACGTCAGCTAAGCGAAAGCCCATCAATTCCTATGATGAATCGGCGTCAAACCCATCAGCAAAGCGTTAAGTGTACGTAGTTAATACCAGCATTCCGCATCAGGTGAAAAGAAGGAAAAGTGTCGGGCAATGCAATCACGGAGTAACGTCTTCTAACTGACAAAAAGCGCAAGCGCCGAATAGACAAGGGAAAAGCAGGTGGTGATACCACAAATCATCTCTATGAATTTCGTGTATTGTATTAATGCACTGTACATGATTGGTGATTGGATCCACTGGAAAGATGCACGCTTCATAAGTAAAGACTGGCTGCAAAGACGATGTCCCGTTTAATGAGCCCCATTGCTGAAAAAAACAGCAAAGTGATTTTAGCGGCGTTTGAAAACAAACAGTTTGCATTATTGGCTGACAAGGTTTCGCTTTTGGCACAGAAATTCCGATAGGTTGATGTTGACTTGAAAGTAAAATGTTCACTAGAACGAAGCAATTGAGTCAGTAAAAATTTAAAATTCGTACTCATCTAAGTACCAATGGTGCATAAGGACTAATATTAGCGAACAGGGCCTTCATCGCTTGCACAGGAAGAACATCATCAATAGGTTGGTGAATCTTGTAAATGAGGCTGGTGACCTATATTATGTATATATACTAACAGTTGCCTATAACGTGGATCATAAAATTTTTCACATAGGGCCGGAATTGTACAATACTTGCAAGCCAGAACGAAAACTGCAGGAAAGTAGACAAGAAAATGCGACACTCGATGTTCAAGTTTCTTTACTAAGTATCGTTACGAATGGTGAACGTATGTGGATCAGAACGAGAAAAAAGATTGAATTACAAAGAGCATCAAAATCTTAATTAAACACCGGAAGAACCGAGGACTATGGGTGCGTTGTGGAACTACGGCTTAACAAATGTACCACCGGTCACAGAACAAATCATGTTGGAAGGTTTGCAATATATATATATATATATATATATATATCCTGACTCACCATAAACGCAAGCAAAACTGCGTCCTTTCCAGCTTTCAGCCGTAATGGGGTCCGAGCCTGCCCCAAATCCGGGTTGCCGACGAAGTGTTGGAAACCACTCCGAGATTTTGCTACGTTGGGAGTGTAATAACAACTATCTGCAGCCGCGTATCGATGGCGGCTGCTGCATTTGGCAAGCTAAAATGTCGTGTGTGGAACAAGCACTAGCTCACCATCGGGAAGAAGGTGATGGTTTGCAAATCTATGGTGCTGTCCGTTCTTCTTTAAGGCAGGATATCCGTTATCTGGAGCACCATATAATGCGCGTCGGCTGGTGTGACCGAGTTGCAGACACGGAGGTGCTCCGACGCAGTGGCATGTATTAAATGAACTGCATACTTCTGCTGAAGCGGCTCGAGTGTATTCGCCGCATGGATTCGACTCGCATACCGAAACAGCTGCTTTCAGACCAACTGCGTGCAGGGAAGCGGCAAGCGAGAAAACCGAAGTTGCGTTACCAAGACAGTATCAAGATTAGTTTATCACGAACTAATGCTGATCACAGGTGTTCGGAGTCAATGGCACTAGATCGGCGCCGATAACGAGAGCATATCATGAGGACGGATGCTCAGGTGCTTGTGTAAATCTGGTACACGGTTTCCTAATTAGGCATGAATGCTTCTGCTCTGCTTGTTGAAGGGTGTGGGCCGGCTCCGTTGAAGAAACGTGGCTCCCGTTCACTTGCCTCCCGGTTTTATTCCTTTGGGTTTACACTGGATATGGCGTGTGTGAATGGACTGTGGGTGGTGCAGCGCAAGCCACAGTATTCCGCCCACGCAATAAAATGAACCTACTTCTAACGATCTCCTGATCCTCTGGCCGTCGCAGATGATAATCAACGGCGCCCTATCTGCTGCATCGAGCAGGTGGATAGGGGTTTGCATGCTACTGCTCTTGCGCTTTTCATTCTTGTCGTCCCGCTCAAACTTTACTTTTATCCCCCCATTTTCAATCTTCCAATTATTGGACCTCCTCCACCTTGCTTCAATAGTCGCTTGTTTTCTAGTTTAAAATCACACAGTCGCAGGGCGTCGCTCCAATCCAGTCGACAAGTCCATGTTCAACCAACGTCAGTTCATCCGTTACCCTTTGGAGTCCTCGATCCACGTTAAGACTGGCATGCCTCAACGTGCACACTTTGCTACAGGTCGGCCAAAAGGCAGCACTTGCCCGCACACTAGAGACCCTATCGATCGATATTTGCTGTTTATCAGAAACCCACCTACAAGATTTGAGCTTCGTGCTTAACCTGCGATACTTCATATGCGACACTGGCGCCACCATCTCAGTGCGCCTGTCTGGCGATGATGCAGCTTCAAATGCCGGTCAAGCTGGCGTCGGCATTGTTTTGAGTCCCCGGGCTGATGCTGCCCCAATCGATTGGATCCCAGTGAACAGTAGGATGTGCGCCGTTAGATTAGCTGGTTCGTTCCATGTTACGAAGTCGCGCGAGAGCAAACCGTGCCTGTTTGTCATTGCGGCCTACGCCCCTACAAACTGTAGCAATGATTCGGTGAAAGATGATTTCTATCAGCAACTTCACGAGCTTCTACGTTACAGAAGAAGAACGGATACTGTGGTATTGGCTGACGATTTAAACGCCCAAGTCGGAATATTGTCCTTTGATGAGCTTCATCTGGGCGGCCAACATGGTGTAGGCACCCGTAACGATAACGGCGCGCGATTGCTACAGCTGTGAGCACGCTCATCTCTTTCTCGCGAGCACAAACTTTCGACACAGCACCCGCAGAAGCGTGACTTGGCGCCCACCAGCATCGATCTAGCCACGAACGCAAATCGATCGTATCGCGATCAGTTACTGCGGGAGAGGCTGTGTCCAACATTGTCGCTCGATATGGAGCAGGAGGGCGGCCTCTGACCACGCACTTGTCTGCGCAGACCTCCGGGTACGTTTCGGTGGACGTCCGCAACGTCGATGTGGGCGCATTGACAACAGCTAACTGGCGAAGCCAGATGCTCTGAATGTGTATCAAAGTGCGCTGACATCCGGGCTGAGTAAGCGCCCACTGAACACCGTCGAAGATCACTGGTCGCATATTCGTCAAATGTCACTATCAGTAGGCAATGTCTTCATGTGACAAATCAAATCGCCAAACTGGACATTGGATCTTCACACAGTCTCTGGAACTTATGGATGCTCGCTAACGTATTCCGACTGGAAGCGAATACAATGTGGCCCGCAAAAACCGGGCAAAGCTACGTGCTAGCCTGAAGAAAATCCGCGAAGCCTGGTGGTCTCATCGTGCCTCGGAAATGGAAACAGCTGCTTCCGTTGGTAATCATCGTGTTAGTTCGTCTGATACGGGAAACAGTCAGCAGGAGACCTGGTGTTAGCGAGACCATACGCGACGAGAGTGGGCAACCGATCCACAGCCTGTCAAAACGCTTGGAGCGTTAAGCCGAACACTTTGCAAGGCACTTTAACCAACCTGCGTTATCGCTTTTTTGGGCATTGAGTGCCCTTCTCTCTGGGCCGTCTCCTTGGATCTGCCCTTACGCGTATAAGTCGAAGGAGCGATCAAGCATAAGACCGCAGGGTCAGTTAGAATTCCCCCAGCCCTCCTCAAATTCGAGGGACATGTTCTATTAGATGATTTACACAAATTGCTAGTGAAACTTTTGGAGCAGGAGACTGTCCTGACAGACTGGAGCTGCTCCGTCATTGTCCAAATTTTCAAGGGAAACTCCCATTCGGAATGCGGCAATCATAGAGGGATCAGTCTGATTTCAATTGCCTCTAAATTGCTTTCGTTAGTCATTCTCCACAGACTGACTGGCACTCGTGAGAGCCAGATCCATGAAGAGCAAGTCGGGTTTCGTCGAGGTCGGGGTTGCATCGACCACATCTCCACTTTGCGTCAAGTGTTGGAGCACCGCCATGTTTATTGGCGACCCACCGTTGTCGTGTTTCTTGACATAAAAGGTGCCTTCGACTCAGTCGATCAGCGTGCCCTTTGGGGCTGCCTGCTGAGGAAAGGTGTGCCTGATAAATATGTAAACATTATCAAAGCGCTATACGCGCACAGTTCGGGCAGAGTGAGGGTTAATGGCAAACTGTCGCCCCCCTTCGGTATCACCAGCGGTGTAAGACAAGGTTGCCCGCTGTCACCTTTCCTCTTCAACATCGCTATTGATGAAGTCATGGAAACAGCGTTCGCTGGACACGACCTAGAAGGTGTGGAGCTACTTCCTGGTGAGCGACTTCTTGACTTGGAGTATGCGGACGATATTGCCCTAATCTGTGACAGCTACAAACATGCCAAACGTCATTAAACCGATTAGCACTGGCTGTCAATTGTTTTGGGCCATGCTTTGCTCCATCGAAATGCAAAGTACTTCGCCAAGATTGGCAGGGACCCAACCCTGCGCTAACACTTTTTGTGATCAGCTAGAAGTCGTTCAGGAATTCAAATACTTAGGCAGCTATATTAGCGCCCGTGGGGTCGAGGATGAGGTTACGAACCGTATAGCAAAAGCTGGAGGTGCTTTTGCCTATCTCCGCCACCTGTGGTGCAGACGCGACATTATTCTCGCCCTGAAGGGCAGAGTTTATAACGCAGCCGTCCGTTCAACCCTCTTATACTGTTGTGAAACCTGGCCCATCAGGTCGACAGACATAAAGTGGCTGGTCACGTCCGATCATTGCTGCCTTCGCAGCTTAGCTCATGTCTGGTGGGAACACCGCTTGAGTAATGAGCAGGTTCAGCGTCGCGTACTTGGTGCAGGAAGAGCGAGTGAAGCGCTCAGCCCCATTAGATCACGCACCAGGCTCCGATGGCTGGGCCACGTGTTGCGCATGTCACCACATCGACTCCCGCGACGTGCATTGTTGGCGCGCCGGGGGTGCGGTTGGATGAGGAGGAGGGGAGGCCAAGCGATGATGTGGTCGAGAGAAATGAAAACCCTCACTTCGAAGTTGGCGTCGGTTGGTGCATCCCGACTGCTTGGCTGGGGTCCTAAGGACGATGAACACGTTTGGTTAGACACACTTCCTGATATGGCGAAGAGCCCCAATGGCGCTTGCGTTGTGAGTTCCTTTGTCCATCCCCCTCTTGCTTAGCATCCCCTTCAATCACGATCTCACTCGTTAGGCAGAATATAACTTCTGCGGCACGGTAGCCGGTTGTTAGCTCTCCGAAACGATGTCTATCCGTTACTGTGGCTCAGCCGTCGTGCCACTGTATTTTTCTTCTTCTTTTCTTTTGTATTGCGGCACAATAACTGAGGTGTTTTCCACCTGCAGCTAACGTGTATAATGAATGAATGATTACTGGTGCGAAGCAGCGA